GAATTATTCTTTCGACAAGAACACGCTTTAGTGCTACAGTTTGTTTTTTGACAACGACAACAATTAGATTGACTTTTTTGAGTCATTTTCGTTGGAATGAACTTTTCTTGGTTGGAAAAAATGTTCGTTTCATTTGTTTCATCCAAGGATTCTTGGTTTTCACTATGTAATGTATATAATCGATAGCATTTAATAAATTCGGTTATTTTAATAATATACACATATTTTATGATTTTTTTTACCTTTCATAATGTAAACTACTTTCACCGAATTCTTCACTTTGTTTTGAAGATCGAGATAACCTTTGTTTTAAACCGGCTTGTCTCAATGAAATCATCTTATTTAAAGGGACCACATCAAGGAGAGGATAATCTGAAGTTTCTAGAGGTTCGAGATCGCTTGCTGAATACCAGCGTTCTATTATCCCATATTGGCAAGCAACCTGATATGAGTCACGACTGGGCTTTTTTTGGATGATTTTGCAGGGTAAAGATCGACGGTCCATCTTTTGTCTATCAATATTTGGAATATGAATTTTTACTAATTCACCAGGTTTAAATATTCTGCCACGTTTAGTTCTATATTTTTGTTGCATTCTATTTCGAATGAGATCACGATTTCTTTGAATATTTAAAATAGCTGATTGGCGGACTGTTTTATGCTGGTCAAATGTTGGACGAGTTACATTCGATATATTACTTAATGGTGTCCGTTCCTATAAAATATAATATGGCATATATGTTTATATATATATTTTTTAATTATAAAATAGACTTGATTCATACAGTACTTTATTAGTCTTATATTCAACAGAATCAGATTGATTTTCAACAATATCTGAGTATGCACGCCATTTTCCTTTTTCTTGTGTAGTATAACGTTGATCTTCATTATCAGAATCCTCAATCGTAATAACTTGTGCTTCGGAATTATTATAGTAAAAATTATCTTGCATATTTATATCATCATTCGTTTCTCGTACTTTATCCATATTACTATTCGTTTCTTGTATTTTATTCGCATTACTATTCACTTCTTGTGTTTCATCTATATCACTGTTTATTTCTTGCACTTCATCTGCATCGCTGTTTATTTCTTGCACTTCATCTGCATAACTATTTATTTCTTGCATTTCATCTATATTGCTATTATTACTATTTACGCTACTGTCATCTTGCTGTGTTTCTTCAAAATAAAATGGATCGATTTCAAAATCTTCTATATCATCATTAAATTCTGATACAATAGTTAGTTGAGAATCAGTTTCAGAAGTTAAAGTTAGACTGTCTGATGATGAGCTCGACGCTTCAACTGGTGGAGGAGAATAGTTATCATTTTCAAGTAAATTAACTAAATTCGTATCACAATGTGGCAATTGTCCAAATACTAGTTCATATGGAACTGACTTATGCGCGGTACTATATTGGCTATTCATAGCCCCTAAAACAAATAAATTAGATAAGTAAATTTTAAAGAACCCCTATATGCATAATACAGTAAAAAGTTTCACAAATATTAAATTGCTTACAAATGACAAATTTTAAACCGATGCTCCAATCGCTTCGATTCGTTTCTTCCATCCAGGCTCCCAATTTGATCTGGAGAATATCATTTCCCTTTTCAACTAATCCTTGGCAACGTGGATTTCGGGGTCGTCCATGAACTATTTTAATATTTGGCCACAGATTAAGCGTTTCCTCAACAACTTTTCCAACGAATTCGCCACCATTATCAGAGTGAAGTATTGCAGGTGGGCCGTATAATAGACAAAAGTTGAATAAGCATGCAGCAGCCTCTTCAGCTGTTTTAGATCTCGATGGTTCTGCATAAGAAAACCTTGAAAAATGGTCCCTAATATGAAATATATATTTGTATACTCCGTCGGGTACTGATGTCATGTCAATAGTATCGATCTAGAAATAGATTGTTAATATTATATAGTAATTTACTAAATTGAAAAAAATTTAAATTCTTACTTGAATGTGGTTTAAAAAACCTTCTGCAACAATTGGACGAATTGGAGGAACTTTTTTAAAGGATCGTCTAGTAATACAAACTTTGCACTCGCGAACTGCATTTTCAACTACTTGTTGTGGAATGTAGGAGTATCTAACACGAATCTTTAAATTAAATCACAGTAGTAAATTTTAAATTCATTATATAAATTTACGGTATAAAAAAAAATTTAATGTTTACTTTTTTCCATGTTTTATCTTGACCGCCGTGTTCAGTTGCCTGATGTGCGGCACAAATTATTTCGTAAAAGCTTTCAACTGGACAAACTTGTGTCCCTAAATTATTTCCGGCCTGATTAATTAAATGAAGCTCTTCGGTTGTACCGATATTAAGGATTTTAAAAGTATGTGTAACCCAATATTTAAAATTTGGGTTGTGATAAAGGTTTGGATTTTTTAAGACATTCAAACACTC